CCGCTGCCGCCGCCTCCGCCCTGCGCGCGCGCTGAGGACGCCCGCGCCAACGCGGACCGCTACGCTGTGTACTGGAACCGCAGCAACCCCAGGTGAGCGCGGCACCGGGACCCCGGCCCCGGCTCCCACGCCGGCCTCCCTGAGGCCACAGCCCCACGCCCCGCGCTGTCGCTGGGTGGGCGCGCGGGGACCCCGGGGAGTGCCGGGCCCTGTCCGGGGACTAGTGCGCCTAGTGCAGAACCCCCAGGGCGACCTACTCCCGAGCAGACTAGAGCGCCCACGTCTTCCAGAGTTTGGGGAACCCCTCTGGCACTCTCTGAAACCGGGCAGCCCTTCAGTCCCCTCCCCGGGCTTGGGGGACCCCTAATCCACTGCCTCTCTGGAGTTCCCCCAAGAGCTGAGGAATTGGTGGAGATCCCTAGGGACTTTGACACCCAGGGGTCCCAGGAGGTTGGAGACTGACCGTGGGGTGAGGGGTCTGCCGGAGCGTCCTGTGGGAGGTGCCCCAGATGAACTTGGGGAAGTTGGAATGTCCCTCCCTACCTCACATTTACTCCAGTGGGGGACCTACTCCTGGCTTTATAGGGACAGGGAGGCTGAGGGACCAGAGGGGCTGGGCTCAGTGTGGGAGGTGCATTGGGGTACCTTCCTTCACCCTCTTATGCTGACGGGGAAACTGAGGTGCAGAGGGGCTGGCTCAAGGTCAATATGAGGGGAGCAGAGCTGGGGCTGGAGGGGTGGCTGGGTCCCAGCCTGCCACACCCGGAGGAGGGGCCCCACCCGCAGCCTCACAGTCCCACAATCCCACCCCAGTCCATGCCAAGCACCGAGTACCACTGGAGGATGACAGCAGCCCCTGTTAGTCCAAGTGGGAAAAGTTTACTGGCCACTGAACAGGTCCTGCACATCCACAGAACCTCTGGGCTGTTGGTCTCAGTGGCCAGAGAGGACGGGGGTCCTGTGGGGGCCAGGGCTTCAGGACTCCTGAGGCTGGTGTTCAGCCCGCACACCGCCACTCAAGGCTGGTCAGGCTGCACACAGGGGCCTCCCTGCTCCATGCCCCTCTGCCACCGGCCGCTTTCTCTCCAGGTCCCGGCTGCTTCCTTTGCCGGCCAAGCTGCCCTCCTGAGCAGCGGTCTCCTCTTGTCCCTGCGGTTGCCTGTTATCCCAAACCTGTGGTGGAAAGTTGCATAAAGGGCTTTCTTTGAGGCAGATTCTGGGAGAGGGCAGCCAGTGTCCTGCTGTGGGGTAGGCAGCACCCTCAGACCTACCCCTGTCTATGCAGGTCCAACGGATTGGGCCCCCAGGGCAGGGACCGAGGCCCCAGAGGGACAGCAGGCCGTGGCAGAGCTCATCCCACTGCACCACATGTGGGTTTGATTAAGGCTCTTCCCTGTTGCTGGCCGCTGGCCGCACGGGAGCCCAGCGAGCTGCGCTTCCCAGCCCAAGTTTTTGGTTTCAGCTCCGGAATCTCCATCCCAGCGTGGCCTGTCCTTTGTTCTGGTGAACACTGGAGGAACAGGGAGTGGGGAAGGAAGGGGGTGTCAGGGCCACCCCACTGCCCCCACCTGCCGCAGGGCCAAGGACAGTGGGCTGGACCCCCTGCCGGGGGATGGAGATGGCGTTTTGGTGCCCGCCACAGTGACCAGTGCCGGCCTGTGGGCCACCTCCTGTTGCTGTGTGACCCGACAGCCCCGAGGGCATGGCCTGGCAGTCAGAACTGAGTCCTGGAGCAGGGTGGGGGGAAGGGGGTCCTCCTCCTCCTGCCAGGGTAGGCAGGGTGCCGCTGACCCTGCCCAGCACCATGCCGCGGGCCCAGGACCAGCATGGCCACCTCGCCCAGGAAACCGGGATCTGTCCAGACGGAAGCTTTGCCATTGACATGGGGGGTTCACGGCAGCCCGGGGGCCCTCCCGAGATCATGCCAGGGGTGACCGGGTGAGAAGCTCTGCGTGAGCAGGGGCCCAGCAGGCGCACCAGGAGGGCTGGCCTCGGCTCCGGCAACCCAGGGGACCCACGACGGGGTTGTCTGCCTGGGGAGACCCGCAGAACCGGGTGGGAGCGGTGAGGATGGTGTCTGAGCAGAGATGGGTGGTGACTCTGGATGGAGGTCCCCAAGTCAGAGTGGGGCACACCAAAGGCATGCTGATCAGGGTGGCAGAGGTGGGGCAGCAGGTTCCCACAGGGGACAGAGCATGCAGCCACTGAGGGACTGAAGGGGAGACCCACCGGTCCCAGTCGTCCACGGGCCACCCCTGTACCAAGTGCATATGTGTCCCCAAGTGACATCCTGTTGTGAAGTGACCAACCTGTGCACACACATCATGAGGGCCTGGGGGGAGCCCCACACCCGCTGCTACCCGGCTGCCACAGGGTAGGGCGCATAGGCCAGCACCCGTCCGGCCAGTCCCCACCTGGACTGGGCCCCCTTGAGCCAGCCGCTGGGCATCTCTGGGCCTGTCACCAGCCGGGCTGGACTGGGCAGGGGTCCCTGGCTTGGCTTTGGGCTGGCTGCCCTCCTGCCCTGGCCACGGCATTTTGTGCGTGCTGGGGCTATGCTTGTGTTTGTGATGCGTGCGAGCACCTGGGGGTTGTGCCTGTAGCTGCATGTGGCCACGTGTGCTCTTGTCTCTGGTGTGCAAGTGTCCTGGGGTCCCAGGAGGTGTGTGTCCATGAGTGGGGCACACGTGTGTCCACGAGGCAGAGTGCCGCAGAAGTCTACGTGCACTCGACACCAGCCTCTGGCGTTTTGCACACGTGCCTGTGTGATGTGCACTGAGCATGTGTGTGCCTGCCTGTGTGGTGCACCCACTTTGCACACACATCTGCACAGAGTGCCTGCGTGCTGGGCTGCACAGACACGTCTGCGAGCAAGTGCACACGCGTGTGTCGGTGCGAGGCCGGCGTAGGCTTGTGTCGGTGGCCGCAGAGCGTGCCTGTAGGGCTCCGCTCCAGCTGCCCAGAGCGGTCTAGCCATGACCTTGCTGCTTGCTCCGGCTCCCCTGGGGACAGGAAAGGGGGCCACTGAGGCCTAGAGCAGGCGTCACACAGGACCCCTTCTGTCCACTCAAGTCCCCTCCTGCCTTCCTGGCGGTGCCGATTCAGGAGGGGGGCTCTCAGGTGGGCGCCCACCCCAGTGCCTGTGGCTGGGTGCCCTTGTCATGTGGGCCACAAGGAGCGTCCCTCCTGGACACCAGGTAGGAGAATGGCGGTGGGGCCAGGACCTGCTCTCCGAGGGCTGGCCTTTCCCTGTGGTGGAGGTGACCGGGTGTCCCCGCGGTGGCTGCTGGCCTTGCACGGCCTCCGGGGCAGCTGGCTTTGAAGGGACCGTGCTTTGCCGGCTGCCTGTGGTTCTGTTCTGTGTGTCTGCTCCTCCATCAGCCCAGGGAGGCTGCCGAGCCAGGCGGTGGCCGGGGAGGGGACTGGGAGGCCGTGGAAACCAGGGCATGGACTCCAGGCCCAGAGGCTCCCCAGCTGATCAGACCCCTGCCTCCTCTGAGGGCGCGTGGGGGGGGCAGGCATGGGCAGGAGCCAAGGGCTGAGGCCCCTGCCAAGAGGAGACTGAAGGTGCGCCCTTGGTCCAGAGGGGCAGCGTGCTCTGACCTGCAGCCGGCCCCAGTCCACAGCAGAGCCACCCAAGGCAACCTCCCAGCCACGGCAGGTTTTGGTGCCCCGTCCCAGGCCTGCCCACCCCGCTTCCCATGATGGCGCCCGCCGTCACGCCCTGCCACCACAGCCCTGGCCCCTCAGTGCTGAGGAAGCCCCTGACCGGGTCCCTCAGCCCCGGGGCCAGTTGCTGACACAGTGTCACCTCATCTCTGGGGCCGGGGGTCAGGCAAGGGGCACTGTCCACCTCTGACCTCCTGCGCCCAGTGGCGATCCCTTGAGGGTCAGTAGGGGCCTCTCACGGGTCTCTTAGGGTCGTGGGGTGGTGGACGCCGCTCTGGGACAGTGGGAAGAAGCACTTGTGGTCTGAGCTGGCGGTGGACGAGGGGATAGGCCCCACACCACGAGCTCCTACAAGTAAGTGCCCGTTCTGCTCCCTGGGACCAGCCATGGCCAGCCTCACGCCCTCTGCTTGCTTTGGGGGAATTTATCTTCCGGTGCTGGGTCCAGAGCTGGCCCGGCTCTGTTCCCTGCCTGGGCAGGCCATGCCAGGGGAGGGGGCAGAGCCAGTGTCCAGCCGCACGGCCACCATGAGGCCAGACACGGCAGGAAGCTCAGCACAGGCCAGGGGAGACGCCAGGGGGTGTTTGACCTCTGTGGCCCAGCCAGCCTGGCAGTCTTGTCCCCACCCCGGGCCACCCTCCCTGGGCCCTGGTGCCCGCTCCACAGATGAGGCAGTCCTAAGACCCCAACTCGTCTGCGCTGGGCACATCAGGGCTGCCTCCTGCGGGGTCTGGCTGAGGAGCAGAGGGGTAGCTCTGGGCACGGAGGGGGCAGGGAGGAGGCCAAGGACAACCACACCTTCTGGACGTGCCTGTGCCCGCCTGGCCTTTCCTTCCTCTCCTGTGGCCTCAAAGGCCCTGGGGTGGCTGAGGCCCACGCTGAGCCTTGGGACCCTGTCTGCTGGGTCGCTGGGCCACCCGGGCACCCGCAGTGTGTCTGGACCCAGCAGAGAGACGGCGATGGCCACAGAGCAGCCGGAGAGGTGGCGCCGGAGACCCACCTGGAGCCTGGTGGGAAGGGTCCCCCCCCCGGGGGTCCGACTGCTGCCCCCTCCGTGTCCAGGCTGGCAGCCCAGCCCCACCCTACCCTTCCTGCCTGAGACTCCTGACCAGTCGCCTTGCCGTGCCTGCCAGCTGCAGCTGCTGAGCCGCTGGCCGCAGGGATGCTGGCAGTGGCCGGCAGGGTCCGGGTGGCCAGGGAACCCTGGACCTGGGCAGTGGCAGAAGGGGGCTGCTGGGCTGGGGGAGGCGTGTGAGAGCCTCTCCCTCAGCTGGGAAGCCCCATATGGGAAAGAGAAGCCCCCGCATCTGTCCTGCATAGGTGGCCAGCACAGGGGTCTTCCCTGGGCTAGCCCATCTGGGCCCCCAGGCCCCTGGAGGAGGCTTTCTGCAACCCTCTGCCTCAGCATCTCAGAGCCCTCCAGACCTTGGGCTTTTCAATTCACTTGTTCAGTCAACATCATTGTATGGAGTGCCTGGGCTGGCCTCAGGGTGGGGCAGAGAAGATAGCAATTGATGTGAAGGTGTGAATAGGGCCAGTGTCAAGTTGGGATACTGGGTGGGGGACTTTTCAAGCACCAGAACAGCATATGCAAAGGTGGAGCCAGCCAGAGGCTGATGCTTCAGAAGGGGTGGACAGAGGGGCAGACAAGTGCATGAGGGCTGTGGATTGTATTCTGAGCATTGAGGAGGAATGGATGGCTTTGGGTCAGCAGGCAGTGGACAGACTGACATTCAGAAAAGGTGTCAGTGGACTCAGGGAAGCCCTGTAGGCCCTCACAGTGGCCTCGAGAGCCCCCACATCTGGGTCTACCAAGATTCCCGCTTAAGGAATTAAAACCAGAACAGGGCTGCGTCCGACTCAGGCCCAGTGGAGGACGGGGCCTGGAATGGGCCACCGACTCACCTTCCAGAGTCTGACCAGGAAACGTCTTGCAGGGAGCCAGATTCTCCTTCCAGCTGTGGGTGTGGCAGGGCTGGGACAGGGTGGGGGAAACTGAGGGCCAGGGGTGGGTGCTGGGCCACTGACACCACCAGCCTGTGGGCAGCTGGGCTCTCCCTGGGGCAGGGAAGGCACACGAGTGAGCTGTGGCTGTCCGAGGGGCTGAGGTGAGGGTCAGGAGGCCCTGAGCCAGGGTGAGCCCCTGGGTCCTCGCAGCCCCCGCTCCCTGCTGCGCCCTCCGGATGTCCTTGTCCCTGGCCTTGGTCGGCTCCCGGGAGGGCCCAGCAGCATGAGGAGGGGCTGCAGGGAGGCCGGGTGGGAGGCCCTGGGCTCCCGCCTGAGCTTCTCCACAGCTGGACCCCAGCCCAGGAGGTCGAGAGCTGGACCCAGCGGGGAAACTGAGGCGCCAGCGGGGGCTCCTGTGGCCTGGTTCCCGTCCAGGCCCGGACCCTTGTCCCCTCCCTGGGCTGCCTCAGGGAGCCATGCCAGTGACTGTGCGTGGGGGCGGTGGCCTCAGTTTCCCCAGCGGTGCCGCCTGGCCCTGCGCCAGGACCTTTCATGTGGTAATGAGTCCCTCCCAAGGCCCCTTCCTGCCGCTGCCCGGGGAGCCCTCCAGCAGATCTGAGGACCTTGCCGCTGTAGCCCCAGGCGCTGATGGCAGAGGCGCTCCCTGTGACAGTGACCTCCATCCTCCAGAAAGAGCCGGGCCAGTGGGCTCCCTGGAGGAAGGGGCATGGCTGCGGGACCTGGGGGGCCTGGTGTGGGAAGCCAAGGGCCCGTGGGTGGCAGAGGAGGGGGCAGCTGCAGATTCCCGGCCCTGGGCGGGATCATCAGAGAAGGCAGGAGGTGTGCTGGGATGGCACAGTGTGGACGGGTGGGGCAGGCGTCCAGGGCTCTGCTGAGCCGGCCGGCGAGGGTAAAGGGGACCCAGGGAAGGGTGTGTGTCTGCACGGGAGCCTCACCCTGCAGGGAAACTGAGGCTGTGTTGGCCTGGAGCTGCCCCATCCTGGCCGCCCTCCTTGGCAGGTGGAAGTGAGGGGCACCGAGGGTGGGCAGGGGGCCTGGAGGAGCCTGTTCCCCTGGGGTGGGCCTCAGTGTGCAGACCCCAGAGGCCTGGACCGCAGGGCAGGAGGCCGCTGCCCGGCCCAGGCTCGCTCCCCTGTGGCCCGCTAGGGTGCCCTGCGGCTGGCTCCGTGAGGGCGCACTGTCAGGCGGCCCCTCCCCGCCCGCGCCCCTGCGCTGACGCTGACCCCCGCAGGTTCCACGCGGGCGCGGCGGGCGGCGGCGGCGGCTACACGGTGGAGGTGAGCATCAACGACTACCTGGACATCTACTGCCCGCACTACGGGGCGCCGCTGCCGCCGGCCGAGCGCATGGAGCACTACGTGCTGTACATGGTCAACGGCGAGGGCCACGCCTCCTGCGACCACCGCCAGCGCGGCTTCAAGCGCTGGGAGTGCAACCGGCCTGCAGCGCCCGGGGGCCCGCTCAAGTTCTCGGAGAAGTTCCAGCTCTTCACGCCCTTCTCGCTGGGCTTCGAGTTCCGGCCCGGGCAGGAGTACTACTACATCTGTGAGTGGCCGCCGCTCCGCTCGGAGGGAGCAGGGTGGGAGTGTCGTGAAGACGATCATTGCCTTTAGCGTGTGATCTTCATCTCCAGCGGGAGGAGCCTCTGGGGTGGGGGGCAGAGCCGCTGACCTGGCTGTGGGCACACCCCAGGGAGTCCCTGACCTGGCTGGACACTGGTTCCCAGGCTGGGGCAGGGGCTCAGCGACATAGCACCTGCTTAGCATCTGCCAGACCCTGGTTCTGTCCCCAGCCCCACAAAAAAGAAAAATGGAAACAAAAAGAAGGGTTTCTAGAGCACCTGCTGTGCCAGGCAGCCCACTGCGAGGTGACCGGGCAGCCCACTGCGGAGGTGACTTGGCCACAGGCTCCGGGGAACAGGGGCTGGGACCTGGCTCCATTATTTGGCTACACCAGTTTTTTGCTGATGGACACCAGAGAGTCAGTGTCCGTTATTTTTGGACTTCACCTTATGCTGGGCTAGAGTGAGGCCCAGCAGGACAGGGACACACACAGCCTCGGGCTCTGGGATCAGGTGGGGCAGAGAGGGCAGCCCTGAACGTGTGCAGGAGGACTGTGGGAAGCAGGGCCTTGTGCCTGGGGCTTGGATGTCGACTGGGAGTTTTGTGAATGGACTCCCCATCTGGGGTCAGGGGCTGCTCAGCCTCGGGAGAGCTCAGGCATCCGGAGCCCGCGGCCCACTCACTCTCTGGCTTCCCTTCCAGCTGCCACACCTCCTAACGCTGTGGACCGGCCCTGTCTGCGACTCAAGGTCTATGTGCGGCCCACCAGTAAGTGCCCAGGGAGCCAGCAGGACCCAGGTCCCTCCACCCACGGGACCTGTGAGGGGTCCAGAGGGCCTGGTAGGGTGGTCCCCACTCGGCCCCTGGAGTCCCTGGCTTCAGCCATGGCTGGGCAGGCCCCGCCCCGAGCCTCCGCATCCCCCTGCACAGACATTTCCGACGTCCGTGGCCAGGCCCCCCTGACGGTGCCGTCTCCTGTGTCCCCCAGACGAGACTTTGTACGAGGCCCCCGAGCCGATCTTCACCAGTAACAACTCCTGCGGCGGGCTGGCTGGCTGCCGCCTCTTCCTGAGCTCTGTCCCTGTGCTGTGGACTCTCCTGGGCTCCTAGTCCTGGCCTGAAGGATGCCAGCCTCCTGGGACGCCCACCTGGACTGCCCAGCCTCGGCTCTCCCCACCTGGCCACGGCTGCTCTGAGACCAAATAGAGACGCTGCTTCTCCCTCCGCGGTGCTGCCTGCCAGGAGGGGCCAGCCAGGATCCCTGGTGCCCCTGGGGAACCAGGTGTGGGCACAGCCCCTGACCGAGCCATCTCCTCTAGGGGTACCGGGGAGCCTCGTGCTGACCCTTGTTTTCTCGGTGTATGTTTCATGGTTGGGTCAGAAAGACTGAAATGTCTGATTTAATTTATTCCCTGCTGTGGCCAGTGCTGGGGAAGAAAGCAGAACTGGTGGGCGGGTCCCTGCCCAGGGAGGAATCCAGGGACACCAGGTCTGGTCACCCCTCCACTCTGCACCCCGTTTGCTGGGTCCTGGCTGGAGCCACCCCCGCAGACCAGCGAGTCTGAGCCAGAAGAGAGCCTGGTCCGAACCCCCACTTGTGGCCCAGGGGCTCCCTGCCAGCTCCCGGTGACCCTCCGGGGTCAGGGCCTTCCACAGAGGACCCCAGCAGGCCCGGTCCCCGGCAGGGCCTCTCCGAGGCCGAGAAGGTGCTGTGTTTCTGTAAATAGAGCTGGCGAGTGTGTTCCGTGGTTTTTCATGTATCCTGAGGGTGGGCCCCCAGACCTTTGTTCTCAGCCCTTTGTTGGGGTCTTTTATTTCGGCGGGGGGTGGGGGGACGTTTTAGAATAGAGGCAACACTTGGCAATAAGCTCATTCTGTCTGTGGACCCCCCCACCCCCGACCTGATAATGTTTCTGAGGGAAAAAAATGGATGGAACAGAGGAGGACCACTACCAAAAAAGGCAGCCCCTCCCCAAAGACGGGTTCATGAAGGAAACGAGGCGTTTATACAGATTTCGTATTTCTACCGCCCTTCCTGGCTGTGTTTTCTAGATATTATATAAATATATATTGTGTAGGGTGCTGGAGGCCGGCTCCGAGGCCCGGGGACGCGGGGCTTTTGTAGGGCTGGAGGGTGAGGGCGAGGCACTGCCAGGCCTGGAGCTGGCACTGGGGCTCCCTCCCATCACAATTGACTTTGGATTCTGTATTTTTTTATAATAAAATGCATAAACCCCAAAGGTGTGTCCGTCTGGGCTGTGGAGCGCTTTACCTCGGGGACCGGGAGGCGGGCCTGAGGTTGCCAGGGAAACGGGGGTGTCCTGGCCCATCACAGTGGCGCCTGGGGGTTCCCGCGTTGGTGGGGCTGGCCCTGGGTGTGCGCGTCGGGGAGGCACCTGTGGACCTCAGTTTCCCCCGCTGGGAAATGGGAACGGCCACCTGCCCTCTGGATGAGCCAGGCGGACGGAGGGCTTGTATCTGGCTGGCCCTACACAACAGGAGTCTGTGGGTGCCCATCCCAACACCCCTGTGCACACAGGAGGCCCTGCCTTTCCCCAGCTTCCACTGCTGAGCTGTGGCTGTGACTCGGTTTCCCCACCAGCCCCGACCAGGCCCGGTCTGCTGTCTGAGCCCCGGGTCCAGGGAATGAGGCACAGAGGCTGCTGGCCTCCGGCTGGCAGGTGACCCTGCCGAGGGGCTGCAGTCCTCGCAGCCCACTGCCGCCTGTCTCCCACCCGCGGGACGACGGCTTCTTGGGCACAATTAACCTAGAGGGAACGTTCTCAGCCCATTAATGCAGCCGCGCTGGGCCGCGACGGGGTCTGCCTCCTAATGAGGCCGAGCTGGGCACAAAGGGCCCTGTGTGCACCGCCCTGCCCCTGCCCAGCACACCAGGGGCACAGACGCCGCCCACTCTGAGGACCGTGGGGTGGCCCAGGGATCCCCCACAGCACAGAGGAGGACCCCAGGCTCGGGGAACCCGGACAGCCCAGCCCGGACCCGGGAGACGCAGGGTGGTGGCAGCGGCACGTCATCAACAGCCGATCTCTGAGGTGGCAGTCTCAGCCCCTTCATCCACGGCAAGTGGGCTTCCTGGGTTTCAGGACAGCCACAGGCTTGGGCCTCCAGCTCCTCTAGTTCTAGAACATTCTGTTGCCCCAGAAGGAAGTCCTTCCCCAGCTCGGCACCGGGTCTACGTCCCATCTCTGGTCTCCTGTCCTGGACTCTCCTGCCACTGGGTCACAAGCTGTGGCCCTGTGTGTCTGGTTCTGAGCACGAGGTCCTCAGGTCTGGCCACGCTGCAGTGTGTCACCTCGCTCCTGCCCTGGCCGAGGACACTCCAGCTGTGGATGGACCACCACTTGTGTCCCCATTCATCCATCTGTGGACACTTGAGCTGTGTCTGTCTGTAAGCCATTCATGAGAAGGTCATTATCTTTATTGTCACCAAGCGAGATTTCACAGGAGGTGACGCTGAGCCGGTCAGTGGGTGGATACAGCTGCAGAGATTGTGTCCCCCGTCGCCACAGCCCTGCTCTCCCTCAGCCAGGTGGAGGGGAGACACCTCCCAGCACCTCCTGTCAATCACAGTCACAGCACAGGCCCTCCGCCTGGGCCTGAGGAGCAGCACCTGCCCACAGCAGGGCTTCCCTGGGGACTTGTCAGCCCCAGCATCTGCCGCAGGCCCTGGACACTCCCCTGCACAGGCACCGCACACCCCTGGGGCAGCCTGGGTCTCTCGGGAAGGTCCCCGGACTCTGCACCTGCCACCTACCACTGCCCTGCTGACCACAGTGTGCAGCCAGAGGCTGTGGTGGGAAGTCCCCCAGGCCTGCCCAGGCTAGGCCCTGGACAGCCATCCACATGCCGGTCCTGGGCAAAGGCTCCAGAGGGAAGCAATTTCTCTCCTGCGGCCCATTACTGCCGCCTGGGCGCTCACAGACAGGGGCCGGAGCTGCAGGGGGGCCTGGGTCACAGCCCTCCCCTCGGTGAGCTGTCCCCCAGGGAAGAGCGGCCCTGGCCCCGCCCTCTGGCCCCTGCAGCTCTGGTGGAGGACCCCCCTCCCCAGCACCGTCCTCCCAGCCCTTCTAGGCCTCCAGCCCTTTGTCCCCAGACCCCAGCTCCCCCACTGCCTCCCCAGCCCACCAGGGCTTCCCCCAGGCCCACACCCCCTCGACGCAGTGTTCTTTATTTATCCTTCCCTTCAGGCAGGCCCTAGTGTTTTCCTTTTTTATTTCATTTCTTGTCTTGTCCACCACTCGGCTGTCTGCTCCCCGAGGGCCTGGATTGGGGTCTGGATCACTGGTCTCCAGCACCCACAGGATGCCTGTACACAGTAGGTGCTCAACAGATGCTCACTGACTGGATGTGTCTATCCATGCATGCAGAAGCTACATGCACAGAAAATAAAATGCCAAATGAAAATTGCATCTCCCAGGGGCGGGGATTGTGGCTCAGGGGTAGAGTGCTGGCTTAGCACTAGCAGGCGGGACTCAGGTTCGATCCTCAGCACCACATAAAATAAAGGCCTTGTGTTGTCTCCATCTACACCTAAAATATAAATAAATAAATAAAAGAAAATTGCATCTCCCACGTCAAGATCAGTGTCCCCAGCAAGCATTTAATGAGCACTTACTGTGTGCAGAGAGTGCTGAGTCTCCCTTCCATCTGGACATCACAGCAGTGGTCTCTGGCCCCAAATCAGGGGGACTTTAGGGCATGAGGCAAGACCATGGTGTTGGGGACCCCGTTCAGGCTGCAGGTGGCCAGGTGCTCACCGATGGACCACTGTGAACTGAGTTCACAGCCCCGGAGACCTCAAGGAGCCACAGATCACCCGAGGTGTCATAAGCTGGAATTCCAGTGGTGGCAGCCAGGCTGGTGTGGCAGCAGGAACAGGGGGGGTCGCAGGAGACCCTCCTCCTCAGTCTCCCTGGGACTGGAGCTTCCCTGGGGTATCTAGGAGGTACCAGGCCTCTGGGCCTCTCCCTGAGCCTTGGCAGACGGACGGTTCCCTCCGCCCTTGTAGCCCCACCTGCTCTGTGCTGCAGCAGGCAGGGGCCTCTGAGGCCAGAGAGAAGGGGACCCTGTCCTGGTCTCCCAGGGCTGCCCACTCCATCGATCCAGAAATGGAGGCTGAGAGGCCCAGGAGCAATCGATTGGCCCTAGTGGACACGGTGGCCAGGAGGGAGGGGCACTGAGTGGGGCGCCCATTCCCCCCTGCAGCTGGGGAGAGTGCGGCCCTCCCAGGCCACAGGTCACTGGGACAAACCCAGGTCAGGAGTTGGATCTGAGCAGAGGCAGATGGAGGATGAGGCTGAGGGCCTTCATTCCTGTTCCCCAGGAAGCGTTCAGGACAGTCCTTCCAGGCACCCCGGGCAGCGTCCTCCCCCCTCATCTCCCTGCAGAGATCTGGGGGGTTAAAGCTCCACCCCATGCCGCCCCTCCATGGTAGGTGGGGTCTGGGGTGCTCACTGCCCGGCCCCTGGGGTGACAGAAGCCTTCAGACAACCCAGTGGCTGGCTCAGGAGGCAGAGGGAGGTGTGGGTGCGGCTGTCCATAGTGGGGGCCGTCTTGCCTGGCCCCAGCCCTCTCTGGGAGTCTCCATGGTCACCTTCACTATCAGTTCCCCTGCCCCAGACGGGCTGCGATGTCGGGTAGGAGGAAACTGAGGCAGGCAGCAGGTGCACAGTCCAAGCCTGAAGCAGGGCTGTGGGCAGCGGAGGCAGAGGGGCACTCTAGGTGGCCGGGCGGGCCGTACAGCCCAAGGCTGATCTCCCCCAGGCTCCAGCCGGTTTGCTGCTGAGGGCCTGGGAGCCTTCTGGACACTCCTGGACTCGGGTGCAGCAGGTGCAGAGTGCCCGCTGTAGGGCAGCCTGAAGCTGGGGTGACCCCTCACCCTCCGGTTCCCCTGCCTGGGGCTGGGACAGGAAGGCCTGTCCCTCGGGGCACCTGTGCTCCCACCTCTGAGGGGGTCCCCCCAGGCCGCGCCTTCCCCCTGGCGCCTCCCGCCTGGCCACCCTCCCCTCCGAGGTCCCAGCTCTGCTAGAACACAGAGGGCCTGGGCAGGCTGGTCTTCCACCTCCCGGCCTTGGTGGGCCAGTCTCCGTCCAGCTCTTGGAAGGACCCCGAGGGAGAAGGGGAGTCTGCCCTTTAGGGCCTCAGTTTACCCATCTGCGACCCGGCAGACCCATTTGAAGGATAAGGAGGCCGAGACCAAGGGGCGGGAGGGCCCAGCCCCAGGCCGCACGCGGGAGGCTGCTGGTGTCGCTGCGGTGGTGAGTGTCAAGAGGCGGCCTGGCCACTCGGTTTCCCACTGCAGAAGCCTGAGAAGACGCTGGCTGGCGAAGGGTCCACAGGACTCCAGGAGCTGCAGAGCCCCAGGGGCTGGGAGCCCGGAGGACAGTCCAGTGGACGGCTGAAGCGGGAGCTCGGGATCACAGGAAGCGGGCCGTAACCCCAGGAGCCCCCGTGACCGCCGCACAGCCCGCGTTTGCAGGTGGAGCACGGCCGCAGCAGCAGAGTCGCGGTTTGCAGGGTGTCGCAGACCGCGGCGCCCGGTCCTGGCGCACGGGCCGCTTCTTAGCCTGGTTCATGGGGCGCGGCCGCTGCTGCCCTGCAGGCCCTTTCTGTGTCCAGGAGGGCGACTGAGGAAGGGGGACGGCGGTCAGGGGCCCCTGGCAGAGGGCGCCCAGATAAACTGGATCCCAGGAAAGGGAGGGATCCCTGCTGTTCGCCTGGAAAACGGGGTTGTCATGGCCCGTGGGGGGCAAGGGCTCTGTGCCTGGGCATCCTTGAGGACCAGATGGCCATTCCCACAAGGACCTGGAAGCTTCCCAGGCCACCATGGTCCCAGCCCTCCAGGAAGGTGTGTGGAGTGGCTGGATGAGCGAGGATGAGCAGAGAGTGGGTGAGAGCCGCCCCCACCCCACAACGCCCCTCCACCTCCTTTTCCTTCCTCACTCCCCAGGGAAGGCGGGGCAGGGGCGACCGGCCTGTCTCCGACGAGAGCCAGAGGGAGGTGGCGGGAACCCCACAGGGGTCTGCCTCTGCCTGGCAGAGCTCTAAATTAAAATACATATATACACCAGATAAATAAACCTGCGACAGGCAGGATCAAGCCGCCCAGTTGGGGACCCAGTCGCAAATGCTCAGGGGTGGAGGGGACAAGGATGCATCCCCTGCTGGCAGACCCTGACCGTCCCCCTTTCCACCCTCTGCTGTGAGCCAGGGAAGGTGT